GGGATCATAGAGGTAGTCAGGGGATGGGCCTCTAGTAATCACAAGATAATGATCCACTCGTCGTGTCGATTTCATATTGGTCATTTGATTATTGATTAACGATATTGATATTATGCAAAGTTCTATTCGGTGCATAGTAGGTGGGTCAAGAGCCTAATGAAATGAAATGATTTTGAATCAACTTTGATGAATATTGGAATATGATATATCTTTAGCGTTTTGTTTAAAGCAAATGGCATGGTGTTATATTTCATTATTACTCATACTCACGACATGCATGATTTTTGCTTACTAAGCATTGGCTTATGTAGTTCTTGCATAGTAGGTGAATATGGAACTACATAGAGAGCACAGCTAGCTATGGAGCTCTTACGAGATTTCAGAATTCGATGTACATGGATGACAACCTATAGGGTTATTTTTGGGCTATTGTTTTGAGCTTGTAGTCTGTTGTGTTATATTTTGGGGATCCTGTATTGTATATCCCTTTTGAAATGGCCTGTAGATACGTTTATAACCTAAGAACATGTATATTGGATTTTGGTTATATGATCTTTGGTTTCTTTATACCATATGTTCATCACAAGTTATTAGGAGTTAACAAACGGAGAAGTAATTGTGAAGATGCTTATCATATGAAAAAAAATGTGAAATTCTATATTTAGGACGAGCCATCAGTTTTATTGCCACGTAGATTAATGTATAGTTATCGATATGTGTGGGGATGTGACAGAGTGTGGTATCAGAGCGAGGTTATAATTTTATAAACTATCTATGTACATGATCTCAGAGTACAAAAGAGCACAGCTTACTAGTAAGCTTTATTTTGTTGCATTATTCTTTACATGATTCTTGAATTATATTGGCCAATCTTTATTATAGTTATATTGTAAAAAGGATTACAGTCATTGTGAGAGCTAGAAGTGAATGTAGTGGAGAAAATAGAATTCCAAGGCAAGAAGCAAGTGTCACAGATAATAATAGAGACGTGGTCATTGATAGACTTATCGAACTGGTTGAGCACCAATCACAATAAATTTAGCAATTAATACAACAAAGAGAAAGAGGAGAACAACAAAGAGCTAAATTTGTACAACCACAACAAAGGGCTGAACATATTGAGACAGTTGGAGAAAGATTTAGATAACTAAACCCTCCAATATTTGAGGATGCATTAGATCCAACAATAGCAGATGATTGGTTGAGAACTTTTGAGAATATGTTCAGGTATGTAAGAGTTTTACACGTAGAAAAAATGGTTTGCACATCCTTTATGCTACAAGGCAGTGCTGGACACTAGTGGGATACGATGAGTAGCATTGAAATTGAAAGTGCCACAACTTGGGAGAGATTTAAAGAGTTATTCGTAATAAATATTTTACAGTCCCAATTCGAGCCATGAAGATGAATGAATTCACACAGTAAAAACAATGAGGGATGACAATGGAAGAGTATATTCGTGAGTTTGAACAACTATCCAGATTTGCTACCTACATGGTTAATACTGATGTACTAAAGGTAGAATGATTTCTTGAGGAGCTAAGACCAAAACTATATAGAGATGTAAGCATGGCAAGAATTCAAGGTATTTCATATTCTCAAATTGCAAAAAAGGCATTAGTTGCAGAACAAGTCAAACAAAGAATTAGTCATGCTCAAGAGGCTCGACGACAATTTAGACAAGATCAGGAACAATGTTGCCCTAGAAATGATAAGAAAAGAACATTCCAACGATAGAGTCAGAAGTCTAAGTTTCAGCCGAGACAAGGGCAACAACAGTGGGATTAGGGCAAGCGTTCGAAAATAGACCAAGAAAAAGTCTCAACGGCACAACCGTCTTGCCCTAAATGTGGTGAACAACATACTGGAGCATGTCCTACAGAGACTAGAACATATTATATCCGTGGAAAATGAGACATCTTACTAGAGCATGCCCAGGTAATCCAAACCCTCTGGAACATAAAAAGGTACCAGCCGGGGTGTTTACTATTACAAGATCATATACCGACAGAAATTCATCAGTGGTAACAAGTAAATTCTCTATCTTTGGCATCTCAGAACTTGTACTAATTGATTCTGGAGCTACGCGTTCATTTGTGCCTACTGAGTATGTAAGGAGCTTGGGTAGGATACCTAATATACAAGACGCCAGTTATAGCATAACTATTCCATCTGGAGATTAAAACAAACCAATCTAATTGTAAGATCATGTGCAATCCTTATAGAAAATCACGAGCTCTATGTAGATTTGATTGTGTTAAATATGAGAGATTATAATAATTTTGGGTATGGATTGGCTATCAAAATATCAAGCTACTACAGATTGTAAGAGGAAGTCAGTAACCTTTCAACCTTTGGGAAATGAGCCATTTTCATTCATTGGGATTGGCAAAGGTTTTAGATTTCCAATTATATCGGTATTGAAAGTACAAAGGTTACTAGATAGTGGGTGTGTAGGGTATTTGGTGAGTGTTATGGCTATTGAAGCACAACACAATCCGAATCTTAGTGATATGCTCGTGGTACAAGAATTTCCAGAGGTATTTCCTGATAATTTACCTGGGCACCACCAGATCGTGAGATAGAGTTTGTGATTGATTTAATTCTAGGAACATCTCCAATTTTCAAGGCTCCATATAGAATGACCCCAACTGAATTGAAAGAGTTAAAATTACAATTACAAGAGCTGTTGAATAAAGGTTTTATTAGACCTAGCTTTGCACCATGGGGTACACCAATACTATTTGTTCGTAAGAAGGACGGTACAATGAGATTGTGTATCGATTATCAAGAGTAAAATAAGGTGACAATTAAAAATGAATACCTATTGCTGAGAATTGATGATTTGTTTGATCAATTTCAAGGTGCAGCTGTATTCTCGAAGATTGATTTGCAACCTAGATACCATCAAATAAAGATAAAGGAAAATGATATTTCAAACACAGTAAAAGATATGGTCACTATGAGTTTTTAGTGATGCTATTTGGATTGACAAATGCCCCAACAGTTTTTATGGATTTGATGAATCGGGTAAGAATTATCTTAATAAATTTATCATTGTATTTATTGATGATATCCTTATTTATTCTCATACAAAAGAAAAACATGCTAAATACTTGAGAATAGTCCTCCAGGTCTTAAAGGACAAGCAGTTATATGCCAAGTTTAAGAAATGTGAATTTTTGTTAAAAATAGTTGTATTTTTAGGACACGTAGTATCAGATTAGGGCATATCAGTGGATCCAAGTAAAGCAGATGCTATTAATAGTTGGCCACGACCTACAAGAACTTCAGAGGTCAGAAGATTTATGGGTTTAGCTTGATATTATCATAGATTTGTGGAAGGATTTTCAAAAATAACGTCTTCTTTAACAAAATTAACCTGAAAAAGTACTAAGTTTGAATGGATAGATGCTTGTAAGCAAAGTTTTCAAGAATTGAATAAAATACTAACTTTAGCCCCTATCCTTTCAATCTCATATGGTACTGGAAGTGTTACGATTTATAGTGATGCTTCAAAGAATGGTTTGGGATGTGTATTGATGCAAAATGATAAAATTATTGCATATGCCTCTAGACAACTAAAAGAGTACGAAAATAATTATCCTACACATGACTTGGAACTCACCTCAGTTATGTTTGTACTTAAGATATGGAGGCATTTTTTGTATGGAGAGCGGTGCGAAATTTATACAAATCACAAAAGTCTGAAATATCTATTTACATAAAAGAAATCGAAGATGAGACAAAGAAGGTGGCTAGAGTTGGTAAAGGATTATGAATGTGTTATAAGCTACCATCCTGATAAAGCTAATGTTGTAGCTGATGCATTGAGTAGAAAGTCGATATCCAGTGTTGCAAGTATGATTATGACTCAAAAATCAGAATTGGTAGATTTACAAAAATGGTTATTGAAATTGTATCACAAGGATCTGTTGCAGCTAAACTTGCAGCATTGACACTTCAGCCAAATTTATTAAATAGAATACAAGAAGGGCAATAGGAGGATGATTATTATTCTAAGGTAAAAAAATGATATACATGGTGGAAAAGTTTTAGACTTTCATTTATCAGCAGATGGTGTCTTGCGGTTTGGAGGACAATTATATGTATCTGACACAGAAAATATCCAAGGTAATATTTTATCTGAAGCTCACACAACACCATATTATATTCACCCAGGAGCTACTAAAATGTATAGAGATTTGAAGATGCACTATTGGTGGTCGAACATGAAAGGTGAGATAGCCACATATGTAGGATAGTGTTTAACGTGTCAACAGATAAAAGAGCAGGAACCTTAAAACCATTACCTATCCCATAGCGAAAATGGGAAAGAATCACAATGGACTTTGTGGTGAAATTACTAAAAAAAGACAAAATGATACGATAGTATTTAGGTCATTGTGGATAGGTTAACAAAATCGGTTCATTTCATTTCAGTTTGTTCCACTTATTCCATGGACCAATATGCTCAGCCTTATATACAAGAAATAGTTAGACTTAATGGAGTGCCACTAGCTATTGTTTCAGACACGGATTCTAAGTTTTTATCCCTATTTTGGAAAAGATTACATAAGGGTTTAGGAACGCAGTTATCTTTTAGCATGTCTTATCATCTTCAGACTAAGAGACAATCAGAAAAACCAATACAAATATTGAAAGATATGTTGAGGGCTTGTGTGTTAGACTTCCAAGGCCAGTGCAGTAAATTTTTGTCTTTAATAGAATTTGCATACAACAATAGTTATCAGGCTACGATTGGAATGGCTTCTTATGAAGCATTACATGGTCGAAAATGTAGATCTCCAGTTTATTGGGATGAGATTGGAGAAAAAAAACTATTGTGTCCAAATATGGTCCGTGAAATGGCTGAAGTTGTGACAAAAATACGTCAGCGGATGCAGACTGCTCAAAATCGATAGAAAAGTTATGCAGATCAAAGAATCGGAATATTAGAATTTACTGTGGGGAATCAAGTATTTTCTAAGTTAGCACCAATGAAAGGAGTGATACAGTTTGGAAAGAAAGGAAAACTAAGCCTAAGATATATTGGTCCATTTACTATTACTGAGAGAATTGGAAATGTTGCATACAAACTTGACCTTCCTTCATCAATGTCTCAAGTGCACAATGTGATTCATGTGTCTATGCTAAAAAAATACATTGAAAATCATTCTCATGTATTGAAGAATGATTAGATGGATATAAAACCATATTTGACTTACGAAGAAAAATCGGTAGAGATCCTTCAACGAGAGATAGAGCAACTGAGAAGCAAGAAAACTCCATTGGTTAAGGTATTGTGACGGAATTAGTCAACCGAAGAGGCTACTTAGGAAATAGAAGATGAAATATGGGTTAAATATCCTGAACTTTTTGGTAAACAAATTTCGAGGACAAAATTTTTATTAGGGAAGGATGTAATACCCCGAACTCCACGTTATGAATTTGGCCAATATGATTCATGTATTTCATGCTAATTACATTGTCATTTGCATCAATTTTCTAATTTATTTCTCTTAAAATGGTGCATTCAATTATCAAGACTTTAAGATCTTCATAGATCCCTCGACCTAGTTAGTGAATTTTACATTGAGCTGTGATAGGAAATTAGGTTAAACAAATGTTGGAGATTGGCTTGATAAGTAATGGGAATATTGAAAAGGTTGGAGTTAGTATCGACAAATATTCAAGCCTTCCATTCAGTTGATCAATGCCATTGACATATTTGGGACATGAGACATGAAGTGAAATCGATCGAGAATCGGGTGTCAATCGTGTAAGTAATTAAATGAACGGTTGAAAAAATAGCTCTATAAAATAGTTTGGGAACTCAGGGAAAGTGAAATGGATTGTAAACAAATCAAAATAAGCCAAGGATACTTGAATTGTATCTGCAAGGATAGATATAAAATCAGATTTTTACTACAAGTGACGATCTCATGCTTGAACACCTCATGCTTGGGATATTTGTCACTTTAACACCCACTTTCTTTAACATTAATGTATCAATCTCGTGTCCTACTCCCAAATTATTTAATATAGGATGGATATATATCTTAAAAGTCATAAAAGGATCCAAATATAATGGTAGAAAAGTCAAGTATTGTTGCAAAGAAGCCAAAACCTGCTTGGACAGCTCATGCTTGAGGATACTTGTCCTTCAACCACATTTTTCTTCACCCTTAAGTACCACTCAAGATCCCAATCTTTAAGACTACTTATATATCTCTTAAATAGAACATTTAACGCTTAAAAGTTATCCCCAACTGACCCCAAGTGAAAGAGAGATCAAGGGAAGCAAAGAGAAATAGAAAAAAACAAGAAGCTGGAATTATGGACAGCTGAATTACTTCACTATTTTGAGGTTAGTATCCATTATTTTTTAGGGTCTTATAATCTATTGAACATACGAACTTCCTTGTGATTAGGTTCTGGGGTTATTGGTTTTTATGATGGCAAAATAAGGGCAATTAATTACAAGAAATTGAAAGAAAACTGAAAACTATCACAAGGAAAACTGCCTAATTTGGTATTGTGGAAAAAGAACAGTTTTGGAGGCAGAAAACACTTTACTTATCACAACTTTATGACATGATTACCTTCGTATACATGTTATAGAAATATGGTAAAAATTTGGGAGTCATTGGATATGGTTAAAGTGGTGAAAATGATTGGAAAAACAGTTGGACGGTGATGGAAAACTGAAAAATAGATTCTGTCCATTTACATGTTTGATGTAGTTTCAACCTTTACATGTCCATTAATCATCACTTGGGCCTAGAGAATAGATTCTAAGGAATACTAGGTTGTTGAAGACAATTGGATGACATTGATGTTCTTAATTGGACTCGAGAAATAGCGAGATTTATGGGGCTAGTTTGTAATGACTTCAATAACTTAAAATTATAATTTCGTCTAAATTGTTTTGGCGTGAATGGACATATTTTGGGATTGTATGTCTTAAGGTTATTAAATAGAGGATTGTCTTTAATATTAGATGGTAATACATGTGATTTTTTGACGTTGAATAAAAACGAAACTGATATAAACTCCGTAGGAGCTTGCACACACAAAGGCGAAAGGTAAGTAAAAATTCATTTCCAACTACGATGCAAGAACCTAGTATTTATGATATGGTAATGTTCGAATATTTACATAACTTTGATAAGAGACTTATTGCATATCATATGAGAGTTATGATCGTTGAGTATGAGTTTGCGGAACTTATTGACATAGATTTTCATTAAATATGTCATTCATGAGCATTTTCATCTACATGCACGACATGTGATTGTGGTTGAAAATCTTGTATGTGAAACATGATTTCAAATTGAGTTTTCCTTATAAATATTTTATTGACCACTACTAGGGCATCGAGGCATGTGAGACATGCTTATGTGATATATTTTAGCATCGCGGGTGATTCTTCCTAAGTGATTGCAAAGGTAGATAGCGGATGGGCATTTGGTAATCACAGGAGGGTAGACCACTCGGCCCTTGTGATATTATGATTATTGGCACTGCTGAGTAGGATACTTCTTGGGGGATTATAGAGGTAGTTAGGGGATGGGCCTTTAATGGTCACAAGAGAATGGTCCACTCATCGTTGTCGATTTCATATTGGTCATTTGATTATTGATATTGATATTATGTAGAGTTTTATCTTGTGCATAGTAGGTGGGTCAATGGCCTAATGAAATGAAATATTTCAAATGAAATATTTTCGAGTCAACTTTGATGAATATTGGAATATGATGTATCTTTAGCATGATGTTTAAAGTGAATGGCATGGTGTCATATATCATTGTTACTCAAACTCATGACATACATGATTTTTGCTTACTAAGCATTGACTTATGTAGTTCTTGCATTGTAGCTGGGCATGGAACTACATAGAGAGCACGGCTAACTGTGGAACTCTTACGGGATTCCAGAGTTCGATGTACATGGCTAATGACCTATAGAGCTATTTTTTGGGCTGTTATTTTGAGCTAGTCTGTTGTGTTATATTTTGGGGATCTAGTATTGTATACCCCTTTTGAAATGGCCTGTAGATACATTTATAACCTTCAGAACATGTATGTTGGATTTTGGTTATATAATCTTTGGTTTTATTATACCATATGATCGTCACAGATTATTAGGAGTTATTTCATTTTATCAAATGAAAAAAAAAAGTATATGTGAAATTCTATATCTAGGTCGAGTTATCAATTTCATTTCCACACAGATTAATGTATAGTTATCGATATGAGTGAAGGTGTGACAGTTGTGCACAACTTTTTCTTTGATGATGGCAAAGCTCTTATCTTGGTCATCTCCACAACTGAATCTTTCCTTCCTTAAAACATTCCATGAGAGGTGCCACAATAGTGTTGAAATACTTGATAAATTGTATGTAGAAAGTTGCTAAACCATGTAAATTCCTCACTTCAGAAACTGACTTTGGTGCTAGCAATCTCAAATTGCTTTTGTCTTGTCTTCATCTATATACAGACCATCTTCACCAACCACAAAACCTAGAAACAATAGTTTACATGTATAGAAAGTGCACTTCTTTAAGTTGATGTACAACTTATTTTCTTTCAAAACCTCTAGGACTTGCCTTGCATAAACTAGGTGATCCTCCTTAGACTTGTAAATAACCTGTGACAATTATGTCTCCGTTTGTCAAAATAAACCACAATAAAGGACATAATAAAAGGACGAAGAACCTGGTTCATCAATCTCAAGAAAGTACTTAGAGTATTAGAAAGTCTTCGGCATCACCAACCATTCATAAAGTCCATCTTTGCTCTTGAAGGCGGTCTTCCATTCATCCCCAGGTTTAATATGGATCTAGTGAAACCACTACGAAGATCATTTTTTAGAAGACCTTACAACCCCCAAGCATAGCTAACATGTCCTTTACTTTACTGTTATCTTGTTAATGTTATGACTGTCAACATGCATACGCCACTTTCCGTCTTTTTTTTGTCACTAGAAGGACAAACACTGCACTTAGACTAATACTCTCCCTTATGAATCTCTTCTCAACAATTCCTTAATTTGCTCTCTCAAAATTTCATTATCTATTAGACTCAATCAATAACGACGAAAATTTGGAAGTCTAGCCCCAGGTACCAAATCAATCTGGTGCTAAATATTCCTCATATGAGGTAACTCATTCTACAATTCATCGGAAGCTATTTCTTCAAACTTTGTCAATTATTTCTTATACCTCATACAAAAAACCCTCATTATCCTTATTTGCAATAAAAAGTCCCTTAACTATAACTAGATAAAAGCAATCAGATTCTCTTACAAACTCTGTAATCTCCTTCTCATTACTTATAAGGGTAAGAAAACTCTCAATTCTTTGTTGAATGCACCTCTAGGCCTATTTGAGAGGAACCATAATGATCTTATGACTATCCCATGAAAAGAATACCACATTATCACACTATTTGAGAGTTGAATCCAAATCAAACTGCCATGAACGACCTAATAGAATATGACAAGCATCCATATCTATGACCTTTCTTTACCCAACCAAGTGAATAGGGCTTAGGATAGTTCTCAATTGGTAGTTTAAACAAATTCACCAACCTCTTCGAAACAAAGTTCTCACAACTTTCATTGTTCACAATCACTTCATACACTAAATTCTTGATAGAATAAAACAAACGGAAGATTCGATGATGTTGTCCCTCCTCCTAAGGCGACAAAATGATTCGTTGTAGTACCAAAGTGAACATTTTTACTCCTTTCTCCACAACAAACTCTACTCCCACATACTCATCTTCCACTTTAGTTCTTCTTCTTCGTCCACTGTCTTTGATTCCACCAAATTAAACTACTTTCCTTCGGGATAATTATTGGAATGATGTCTAGGATTTTAGCTTCTATAAAAAATTTCACCCATGGGCTTAGAATACAGATTTGTATTCTGAGGTACGCCTCGAGTCAGACCTCCATTCCCAAACCGACCACTATTGTCAACCTTATTCCTATTAAGATTGGTTGGGGCTTGTTGTAGGGCTTTTCTTTCTCTGAAGGAACAAATGACGATGTTTCGACAGGTTAGGGTTTCCTATATGAAATCATCCTCTTATCAGATTCAATCATCACAACGTTAATAGCTTCCTACAACGTCCAAATATTCCACAACTCAATTCTATCTTGAATGGCCATCTTCAAACTATTGGTATACCTGACTATCCTTTGACTTTCAGATTCTAACAAATTGTTTCGCTCTGTCAATCACATAAATTCATTATTGTAGACTGATATTGTACGACTGCCCTATGTGTATCTTAGGTACAGACGATATAAAATCTATTCATAATCTATAGGTAAAAATCGATCCATTATACACTACTTCATCTTTCTCCAAGTTCGAATCAAACTCTTTCGCTGTTTCGTTCGAGCATTTTATAATTGATCCCACTATACTGTTACTACATATTTCAAATGGACTACCACCATCTTAGTCATCTTGTCCTCTGAAACATCCATAATTTCAAAGAATCTTTCAATCTCTACCAACCAATCCAAGAAGTCCTCAATCTTTATAATTCCAAATAATGGGGGAATATCTATTTTAATTCAATAATCGTCAAAGGTATTTCGATTTTATTATGTGCGATACTTTGAACTCTTCCTTTGACTCTGATTTACTGTCTTCTGGTATATGTCTCCTATTATTTTCTCTTCGAACTACAAGCT